CCCCTAGAGGCATTATTTTTCTGGTACTAAGCCTGGGGCCTTGCACAAGCTAGGCGAGCACTCTACCACTGAGCTACAGCTCATCCCTTTTCCTAGAGTTCTTAATGGTACTAAATGAACAAGACTTTACGATGGATTTTTTTTTCAGCTGTATATCTCACAATCCCAAAGAATTATCTTTTAAAAAGATAAATCACACTAGAGGTGGTGGTGCACCCTTGTAATCCCAGCACCCTGGGAGGCTGGGACAGGAAGATCACAGCTTTAAGCCCAGCCTGGGCAAATTCAGTGATGTAGCAAGACTTTGTTTCAAAATAAAACAAAGGCTAGGGATGTGACTCATCGCAAAGATCATATGTTCAATCTCTAGTACTGCAGCAAACAATAAACAAACAAATCTATCTCTTGAGATAAACCCTAGATTTGAGATCTGCAGAGGCTGCTCATTTTTGCATTAGGTAGTATGTTTAGGATGGGGACGGGGGTTCACACCCCTCAGTTCCTGCAGGGTTTTACACACACACACACACACACACACACACCAGCTTGACATCACGGTCTTCACAGTCAGGGCCCCCACGAGTTGTTACCTGACTGCCCCAGAGCCAGAACTGGAGGAGGGGGCATCGGGCACACTGGAGCTGTGCCGACCTGGGGACCACACGAGGAGGAAGTGAGTGAACTCAAACCCCGTGCGTCCTTTAGCATCGAGGTTTGGGATTGAAATGTTCTGCCTGAGGGAAGCAGAAAAAATGAGTTCGTACAGAATGCTGCCTGTTTCTAAAGCTAAAGGACACACTAAAAATAGCTGCAGGGACTGAGCTACCCAGGGGCCTCTCGGGCGGCCCCACGGGAGCTCCCGCCTGAGAATCTGTCCTTCAAAGATGCTGCTGCTGCCACACAGGCGGGCAGCCGGCCAGGAAGTCGGGCTGGAGCGGGGAGATGCTCCTCAGGGTGGGCCCCCGGGAGAAGAGCCTGGGCATGGTGTGCGCTCAGAGTGGTCAGCCGAGGACGGCCACCGCCCGCAGGACTATCCCGAAACGCGGAGTCCGTGAAGATTCCTTTCCTTCTCACCTGGGCCTCTCCGGCTCTCCCTAGGATTCATCCTCCCCTGAGAGTCCGGGCAGCTCTACTGTAGCCCAGTTCGGTTCAGGGTGTTCTATTCTTCATTCTTATGAAAGGTACATTTGTTACAATTTGTTTTGTTTTGTTTTGTTTTGGTTTTTTTGGTTTTTCTCCGGCACCGGGAACCGAACTCACGACTTTGCACTTGCCAGGCAGGCACTTTGCCACTGAGCTAAATCCCCAGCCCCCATTTGTTACAATTTAACTGCATTGTATCTTTTTATTTTTTAAAATACTAGAGATTGAATCCAGGCCCTCCCACATGCTAGACAAATACTACCACGGAGCTACATCCTCAGCCCTTTTTTTTTTCCCCTCAGTACTGAGGATTAACCCAAGGCCTTTGCCCTGAGCTACATCCCGAGCCCCTTTTTATTTTTATTTTGAGACAGACTTGCTAAATCACTAAAGTGCCCAGGCTGAATTGCCATCGGCCTTCCACAGTGCTCAGATTATTACAGGCATGTGCCACTACACCCTGTTTAATTTAATTTTTAACGCAGCAAATAAGTTGGGTATGGTGGTGCATGCCTGTAATCCCAGCACTTGGGAGGCTGAGGCAGGAGGATCATTGCGAGTTCTAGGCCAGTCTGGGCTACAAAGTGAGCTGAAGGCCAGCCTGAACTGCATAGCGAGACCTTGTCTCAAAAAGACAAATAAAACAAAACAAAACCCAGCAAATATTCAACCAATTAGCCCAACAAGCAAGCAACCAAGCAAAAACTTGAGTGGCTCTTCATCTTTTACTTAATTTATCTAAACCCCTTACCCAGTGCTATGAAGCAGTTCCCTCTAACCATACCAGCCACCTCTTTTTCGTCTTCTCCACTAATATCCACTCTTGGCAAAGCTGCCAAGAGAAGAGTCTTCCTATGTCATTGGGGTGGCAGAGACTATGTCATATTTGTGTTCCTAAACCCCCGTTACGCTCGGTAGCGTCATTCCCAGAATGGGAGATCAAGAAACAGCCTTTGAAAGCTCGGCGTGGTGGTGAACACCTGTAACCCCAGCACTCAGAAGCCTGAGGCGAGAGGATTGCTGCAAGTTTGAGGCCAGCCTGGACTACACAGCAAGATCCTGCCTCAAGAAAAGAAAAAGAAACAGCGCGCGTGTGTACAACGAATGGGAAGCAGGGACTCAGACAGGTGTCTGCACACCCTTGTTCACAGCATTGTCCACAAGCCAGAAGGTGGAAGCCACCCGTGTTCGATGACAGGCGAATGCATTAGGATAATTTAGTGAATGCACACAGTGAAATATTGCTTGGCCCGAAAAGGAAGGAAATTCTGACACTTGCTACACCATGCATAACCTTGAAGGACTATGTCAGTCAGCTCTCTGTCATTGTGACCAAATATCGGCTATATATCGACTTTAGGGGCGGGGGATTCTTTTAGGCTCGGAGTTTGAGAGCTTCCCGCCCGTGGTCCGCAGACTCCATGGCCTCCAGCCTGCACCGAGGCAGAAGC